TTGCATCGGAATAACTATAGATGAAAAACTTTTCAACCGTTTCAATGACAGTGTAGACGCTCTCCCCCCTCAGTCCAACCAAAAAGAGCCCTTTTAGTCAATTAATAGGGAACTCAACACAACTAATCAGAAACTAAACCGATTTATAGACATTTCAATCGTCATTCGATGCAATCTTCCTGTTTGTCGACCAAATCAGTGACAGTCATGTCGTCTAACCATTAATACAGTAATTGTCAAACAAATAACTAATACTTTGCTTTACTTTTCCCTCCTAACTCTAACTATAGTGACATTACACTGCAGTCATTATGCAATCGACCCCAAAGTGTATTAGCATTATATGAGAGACCGGGCGATAGACTTTTAGGGCACTAAAAGTATATGTGATAAAAGCTGTGATGCCCTCAATGGTAAATCTCATTCATATTCATCCCTAAATTGGTTGATATGTTTATGTATTTTTACAATTTTATGCTTTTAAAGCCTAAACCATATCACAAACGATAGCACTCGCACTGACAGTCGGATCACATAAAAAAGAGTGAAAATCTTTTGATAGCTCTCTATATATTCAATGAATACATCGATATTAACCATAAATCGGAATAAAAAGGGAATATTATATTGTCTGATGGGTTACAGTATACTGTATGTCGAGTTAGAGCGCCGGGATGTGCATCAAATCAAACATAAGAGTAGAGCAAACTATGGCATCAGTTTATAGCTAACTATAAAATTACAATTACAATGGATTTAGTGTCTAATATAACCATCTTATGACTCACTTCTTAAATATTAATTTTGTCTGAGATATCAAATAAAACATTAAATCAATGCATTAGTTGTTCACAACTCCGGTCCAGTAATGGACTTAATATAACGGCATACAGTATAGCGCTGTAACTAGTTTTGTGAGTAATTTGTTGGACACCGAATAGCTCTGAATATTACGGTATTATTATTCAATCTTTTGTCTAATAGTATGAGAGCTGCAGTGAAAGCCTAACGTCAATGCATTATATGTAGGGATAAAAGCTTCCGAACATTAGAGCCGTGAGAAAGTGCTTCCGAAAGGGAAACTCAACGATAACTCAACACAAAAGACAAACTCTTCAAACGAGTTGACAAAATTTTTTCATTAATTTTTAATTTAGAAAACGTCAGTAAATAATATACACAAAGTAAGCCATCATGTTTAAATAATGAACAGGGCGGACTCACCTAATTTCCTACACATTCCTCCGGTGCAGTTCTTAATCAAGAAGTCGTGTCCATTGCAGTGGTGTCCACCATATTTTGGCGGCGGATTACTGCATATACGGCGTCTCACCTGCGAATGGGGTTTACATTTTAAATGATGTCATTACACAGACAAATAATTAATTAATTAGATTTAATTTACAAAGATTAATTAATTTAAATCAACTAATCAACGTACTTGCGAGCACTCGTGGGAACAGGTGGACCAACTGCCTATTCAGACGATAACGACACACACAAAAACATGTAATTAATTATTTGCCACAAAAATAGATGAAAAGAAGCAAAAACTTACTCCAAGAAGTCCACGAGCCGTGAATAGGATTACAAATAACGCTGCAGTCACTGGTTTGGGTCGACTCTCCCGTACAATACTGTCCATTATTCACAGGACTCGGATTACTTGAGGGGAAAACATTTTTTGAAGTCTTAATTACTTGGTTTATAAAAATTAATATACTTTTAAGGATCTTAGGAAAGCATTTGTTATGTATGATATATGTTCAGTATATTAAGTCTTTTTATTATTCACTTGAATATAATATATTGCCGTAAACTTCAAGTCAAGTCAAACCTACAATTATTTTGAGTCAAATATTCTTTGAAATACTGCAATGCTTTGGAGGCAAAGAAGTCTTCATAAATATAAAGAAAAATAAAAGTCAATATTTTGCGCACAAATTATCTCTGATTTTGTGTAAGTTTTATATATGAGAAAGTCATAAATATAATGAAAATAATTTAAGCGGATCTCACATTACAGAACTGAAAAGACTACAATTATCGAAATGTTTCATTAGGAGCTCTCAGATAAAGTCTATTGAAAATTAAATGAATTCATTGGAGAATTTTTATTGTTTGCTGTGATTTATGCAGTAATTGTGCGATAATTCAACTAAATGTCTTCAACAAACTTATCACTCTTTATGTTGATTTCAATAGCATTTGTATTAATAAGTGAGTGAATTTGTAAGTGAAAGTCGAGAGAGAGAGAGAGAGAGAGAGAGAAGTGACTCTTGCGATGAAATAACAGTTTGTGTTAAGCATTACGTAAAATAACTTATTTCTCTGTGTTATTCATACATAAGGCGTGTCTCTCAACAGAGAATTACATTTTTCCCCAAACTTCCATTGTATGTATTATATGTACACTAAAGTAAATACTAAGACAGAGTGAGGGCCCACAGCTGTGCAGTTGATTACTTAAAACTATAAGATTTAATGGACTTAAGTTTCCACACAGAAAGAGATTTTCCTTGTTTAAGGCTTCGGGCGTTTCAGCTATGGCTCAAACTCTCTCTGCGTTGAAAAGAGGGCCGAATTCAGGGGCAAAATGAAGGGAAACACTAATTATATAGGAATGCAAAACATATATTCAGCACAATATATACGGCATATGAGAGAGAAAGACGAGAGATAGGAGAGAGAGAGAGAGAGAGAGAGAGAGAGAGAATGTGGCGATGATGTGAATGAACAGTACCTGCAATAGCGGATCCTTTTTTGGGATCCTCGGCCACACTTATTGGCGGCACTGCATGGAGACCAGGGCCCCCAACTACTCCAACCGCCATTCACTAGAAATAATAATGTTGAGTAATGCGATTAGGGGTTTGTATGGTATTTATAGCTTATGTTAAAAAATAGTATAGGATTTGAAAATGTTATTGCAGTTGATTGTAGTTTAAGTACTCATAGAAGATGTCAAAAGGGATTAAGCGATGTATGAATGGATGTTCGCGAGAGAGAGTGTGAAGAGAAGAGGTTGTAAATGGATGGTAGGGCTCACCAAACACAGTCAACTGTGCCACTTCGCTATACCTAACCCCGGCCGGGTTGCGTACGGCACAGGTGTAATTGGCCTGATCTGCGAGCGTCACCTCTTTGATAATGAGAGACGAGTCGTGTCCTATAAAGTAGTTTCGGTGGTCGAGCGCCGGGTTCTCGGGGATGAGGTCGGAGCCGGAGCTGTGCCAGACCTGATTGGCGCCACCAGTGCTAGCATTGATCACTTGTCCGTTCTTCAGCCAGAATAGGGTTGGTTTGGGGTCTCCCTCGGGGGGCAAACATGTGAAACTGGTTTGAGAGCTAAGGGCTACGGTCTGTGAGAGCGGCTCATTGATGAAGTGTTTGCGTAAGTCTAATGCCATTTGTGGCCAAAAGTATATGCAAACAAAATATGAAACCAAATAAATAAACATAAATTAATGCAAACATCGAAAACATAAATAATAATAAAACTCAAAATACTATCAATGAATATATGAATAAATGATAAGAATATTGAATTACTTGTATTGAAAGTAAACACAGGAATGCATTGTTTTATTAGAGAAAAGAAATTGAATAAACAGATAAACAAATAAAACGAAACAACTATTAGGAGATTAACTATTAGGAGATAATGCAATTGGATTAAAAGGAAGTCAATAGCAAAAGGGAAAGGGATCTAAAGAAATAAAGCGATGCGAGAACTGGAAGTATTGTGCGAACGGATAAATATATGTGAAAAGTTGTCGGCAATGGCTATATATTACAGGCATTAACTAAAGTTATTATAGTTTAAGGGATTAAATCGATTTGTATTGATTGATGTTTGAGTCAAACACGAGTGTATGTATGGCAGAGACTATTGAACGCTGGGATGTGTTGTGAACTAAGAGAATGGCATCACTTATAAGACTAAGACCGAGCCTTTTGGGGAAATACAATGGGAAAGGGATGCGAAAGGACTCATGAATGGGGAGAGAATCGCAATGAAATGCCGTTACATTACATAAACGATTAGAGTTTCGCTTTGGATCTCCAAAAGGATGTTTTGGATGCTCTGATCAGATCTGTGATGAAATGCTTGCATTCTGTGTGAGACACTGGTTAGGCAGCGCTGGCATCATTGGCATCACCAGCCCTGCCAGAGCGACGAGAGCGGCAAAAATCAATTATATTAAGTGCATTGAGTTATATCTGCATTTGACGTTATAATTGATTGACGGCTATAGCAGTGGTTCTCTGCCTTTTTCGGGCTCTGCCATCACTGGCAGCGCTGCGAAAGCCTATCCCTAATATGGTATATAAACCGATTCATACGAAACGCTGCAATCATACAAAAGAGATACAAACTCAAGACAATAGGATGTCTCCCATCCTAGCATTCGCAGCAAATGTATGAACAAAAAGATGTAGTGATAAAAGAATATCAAAAACATTAAGTTTACAACAAAAGACTGCAATTAATGAAATGAGAAAAGTTTGCAATTATTATATACTTTACTATCTATTCATGTCTACTCTACTCGTTATAGAGAACTGCAAACTCCATTCGGATGGTTAGTTCGTTAGTCGTTCACTACATTTATTGAACAGACAGTCGACGACTGGCAAAGGAATGTCATTCAGCCCTTGCATATAAGCACTGGTATTGCAGTGACTTTAAAGGAAATTAAAGCCTATAAAAAGTTCATATAAAGCATCAGAAAAGCAGTAAAGAATGGCGAAGTGAATGGTGAAGTTGAGTTAAGTAGTAGTGAACCTCCAGTTTAGGAACTGGAGGTTCAGGAGTTTATATTACTCTCTACTGGATATGAGACTCCAACAGCAAAACACAGCCTAAGAGGTTGTGTATTGTTTTTGTGCGAAGTCTCTAAACATTTAGGCACTTATGTATGCATTATATCCCTCTTATCCGTCGATACTATTATTGAGTTCTTATGAAAACAAATTTATTAATAAAATCTTTTTAATCAATATTTACACGAGAAGAGGATGGATGCGCGACGGCTGACAATCGATTGGTGTCCGCCGTAGGCATTACACCAGCACTGGTATGGTGTGGTGTATCCAGCCTTTGCGTGCTCGTCGATGTCGTTTCGTGTGACTTCCAAATCGAGTTCAATCTAAAGAGAGATTCGCTTTTTAATACTTAATATAAAAAGTTATACATAATATCTATTCAGTTAAGACCCAAAACATAGTGTACGGTATTATGCTATCATATCATAGCACATAATATCGCTGTTCCCTAACAGCACTTGTATGTGACATAATTGAGCCCAAAGCACACAAAACCGAGAGAATCAAGTGATTAATGAGAATAAATTACTCACTATTCTGATGCCTGTTTGGGGGTCGACATAGTTGTGACCGATTTGTTTGTCTTGAATCGCTCTCTCATCTCCTGTTTTATTGTTTATACAAATAATAATTAATTAGTTGTGGTCTTAATGAGAGACACATTAGCGTCTCCACCGACTAATCCCATACCCGTATTGCACGCAAACCAGGCTTTCAATGCATTCAATGTTTTGCAGCGAAGAATAGCGGATTTGCTTCGGACTATAAACGAGTCGCTCGGCTGCTCATCAAATGCCGGTCCGCTGCCAACACTTTCATCGCTTTTTACATCTAAAACATTAAAATTAAAATATGATAAATGAGGCGCAACTCATCTGCATCCCTGTCCCCCTATCTCTACACCACATGTAAATTTATAATGGATAGTACGAGCACAATATTAATATTCTTTGCGTTTTTTAATAAAATGTTTTCATTTATAATAAATATTATATTATGTTATTATTATGAATATTGTTGTGAATTGTGTGTAATCCTAATAAAATTATATTAAAATCTTTGACAAGAAATTCTTTCCCATAAGAAACGCATTCAGAAATTCATAAATTTTATGATAAGGTTTAGCCATAAAAATACTTTTTAAAGAATTTAATATAAGTTGGCATTCAGTCGGTTGGTGTGGATATGCATCGATGCCTTAATACTATTCCATAACCTTATGTAATAAATATAAAATACTTTTGCTATAATGTGTTATCTATACTTATTTTAGCTATATAAATTATATAAAAACTAGTTTTTCAGATTAATTTCAATTTGAATCGCGTTTGAAAAATAAGAGAAATACATTTCATTTCTGTGATAACAATTGCCAAATTACTATTGAAGAGTATTCGCACGATTATTTCGAGTGAAAATGGATAGAGAAAGAGACTGGGTAATCTGAAAAGTCTAGAGTCTAGACAAGAACTTGTATGCAAATTATAAAAGCTAACCATTAGTTCGTGTGCGAGAGAGAGATATACCGAAAAAGGTTTTATTTTTTGTCAATAGAATCGCTAAAATGAATGGAAAAACTCGTAAAAACTATTGACTTATAATTAGTTGAAATTTATTCAAAAGATAATCCGATACGAGTTTTACTGCTTTTCCAGAAAGTGAAGCAAATGTTTCTCTCGGATGAGTGTTTCGTTTTTACATTTTCGTGATTTCTCTTGTCTGCCGTTGAAGTCATTTGAAAGCAATTATGTTTTGAAATGACTTATCATTATATCATTTTTTGCATTCAATGCTTATTTGGACTCATATTCGGAATCACAGGTTAGGAGTGCTTTCTCTGAGGCGGTTCTCAGTTGATAATAGAGTAGAGGAATATATTTTGGTTTTGGGTTCAGAGATAACATGTCTGAGCGCAGGCAGGAGAGACCATATGAGTTGGTCGACCGGCACAACACACACATAACTGCACCACAACTGAGTGCCAGTGCCTCACAACTGGTCCCGGAGTGGGAAGCCTATGACTCGCAAACTAGCATCACGTCTATTATAGAGTTATAACCATTGTATGTATTATATGTACACTAAAGTAAATACTAAGACAGAGTGAGGGCCCACAGCTGTGCAGTTGATTACTTAAAACTATAAGATTTAATGGACTTAAGTTTCCACACAGAAAGAGATTTTCGTTGTTTAAGGCTTCGGGCGTTTCAGCTATGGCTCAAACTCTCTCTCTCTCTCTCTCTGCGTTGAAAAGAGGGCCGAATTCAGGGGCAAAACGAAGGGAAACACTAATTATATAGGAATGCAAAACATATATTCAGCACAATATATACGGCATATGAGAGAGAAAGACGAGAGATAGGAGAGAGAGTATGAGAGTTGGCGACCGAGTAATGCGAGACTGCCTTAAGTAATGATAAGATCTGCCCAAAGCTATTAATGCAGAGACAGCACCGGCATAACCAACACAAACCAAAACATGTTTTAAGAATACATTTCAAGAATAAGACGTTTTCAATGGGAAAACTTGTACTACCATTGCTGGCACTTAAACACACAGTTTTATCGCAAAATATTATATTATTTAGGAATACATATTGCTTCCAATTTAAATTAATTTACATATTAAGCATATATTGTACAATAAGAATATATTAATATTGTATTAAGAATGTCAAGTAGGATATGAGCAATGACAGTTTATGAAGAATGTCTATAATTTTAAAATACGATCAAATGATCCCGTGGAAACACACTCACCAACAATCGCGGCAAACATCCAGGTCATAATCAACAAGAATAACATTTTCATTTCGATGTATTAAATTTTGATATCATGTAATCCACTTTAATTCACATATTAGCTAGGTACACGGGCATAGTATAAGTTTCTCAACGCACTTAGTAATCCTTAAGTCCGGTATAGTAGTTGTGTAATCGCGTTCATAGTGACAGGTATTTGTTATAACTTATTATATAACTTATAAAAAGTAGTTTTCAATAACTTTTTAAATATGAATTTGCGGGACATTTGAGACTAACTCCGCTTAAAAGTCTCTCACGGATTGAGAACCACTTCTGGACTAACATTAGATGAGATGCAATGCCAATACCCTATAGACCGCCGGCGCATGACTTTTGGCTCTCAGGTTTGGGCTTAACTTTAAGCCCTAGTCTTCGTGTAATATAAATTTATATGAAAAACAATAAATTATCCGGCATATTTGTCATAGTCATTGATAACATGTATTAATAACTCCCACATTTAATCCTATCAGTATCAATAATTGCATGTATTTGCGATAATACAGTATTGTTTAAAAATTAAAAATGTCAATCAAATAAGTATTGGCAAAGTGGGGGATAAATAGCAATCGTAACAGTATTTATGTATGAATTGCCAAACTTTTCAAAAACACATGTTTCGCACCGAAAGCCAAACAATGAGGCAATCGTTGCGTTAGATTTCAATTTAATTGTCATTTCATTGATTTAATCGCATTTCGGGCCATAAATTGGTGTCATTTTTGACAAACACTTATTTGGCGTACAATTCACCACTAAATCCATTAAATTATGTTAAAGTTTGGCAAACATTTCAAGTAATTGACAGCAAATTGATGTGACAAACGGTTTTGATTTGATGAGTTAATTGCAATTTCAGATCCATTTCGCGATTAAAAGCCGCGAACTATGGCTTAAGTCACGGCTTAAGACACCACTCATCCGGCGCTTCGGCGGCCCTATCGTTGAACCGGAGTCTCAAAGTGGGCCACAATTTGCACGGATATCAAGTGCAGGCCATCGAAGACGTGCCGGAGCTGTGTTTGAGTGCATACCTGTTGACACACGTCAAGAGCGGCGCCCAACACCTCCATCTGTACAGAGAGGACACCAATAACCTCTTCGGCGTGTCTCTGAGGACCACTCCCACCGACAGCACGGGCGTGGCCCACATCCTGGAGCACCTGTCGCTGTGCGGGTCCCACCAGTTTCCCTGTCGGGACCCCTTCATGAAGATGTTGAGCCGATCGTTGGCCACATTCATGAACGCCTTCACCTCTCCCGACAACACAATGTATCCGTTTTCCACGCAAAACACCAAAGACTTCAATAATCTGATGAGTATTTATTTGGACGCCGTCTTCTTCCCCCGTCTGCGGCGCCTGGACTTCAATCAGGAGGGCTGGCGTCTCGAGCACCACGACATCAATGATCCCAACTCTGAGATCGGCTTCAAAGGTGTGGTGTTCAACGAAATGAAAGGATATTTTGTGAGTATTTTTGTCGCATTTATTTAAAATACTAATCAAAGTGTTTATCAATTATTAGTCGACTCCGGCGGCGATATATTCAAGAAAACTTCAAAACCATTTGTTTCCCAGCAATACGTACGCCAATGAATCTGGTGGAGACCCCCTCGCCATCCCTGACCTTACATATGAAGCTCTCAAAGAGTTTCATTCCCGACACTATCACCCGAGTAATGCCAGGTCTGACATCAGTAGCTATCAGTAATAGTGTATTGTATACTAAATCTATTATTAATCCAAAGATTTATAACTTATGGCAACTTTCCGCTGGAATCACATTTGGCTTTCATTAATGATTACGTTTTGAGTCGATTTACATTTAATGAAGACTATTCGAGATCGTCTCAAGTGCCGGATCAGCCGAAGTGGTCTAAACCTGTTCATGAGTTTATTGAATCACAACCGGACCCAATGGTCCCGTTCCCCGACAAACAGACGACAGTTAGCGTCAACTTTATGTTAGAAGACATCACTAATACTCACGAGAACTTCACGCTCGCTATCCTCTGTTCACTTCTGATGGACGGCCCAAATGCTCTGCTGGCGTCTCGAGCACCACGACATCAATGATCCCAACTCTGAGATCGGCTTCAAAGGTGTGGTGTTCAACGAAATGAAAGGATATTTTGTGAGTATTTTTGTCGCATTTATTTAAAATACTAATCAAAGTGTTTATCAATTATTAGTCGACTCCGGCGGCGATATATTCAAGAAAACTTCAAAACCATTTGTTTCCCAGCAATACGTACGCCAATGAATCGGGTGGAGACCCCCTCGCCATTCCTGATCTTACATATGAAGCGCTCAAAGAGTTTCATTCCCGACACTATCACCCGAGTAATGCCAGGTCTGACATCAGTAACTATCAGTAATAGTGTATTGTATACTAAATCTAGTATTAATTTAAAGATTTATAACTTATGGCAACTTTCCGCTGGAATCGCATTTGGCTTTCATTAATGATTACGTTTTGAGTCGATTTACATTTAATGAAGACTATTCGAGATCGTCTCAAGTGCCGGATCAGCCGAAGTGGTCTAAACCTGTGCATACGTTTATTGAATCACAACCGGACCCGTACCAGGGCAAGGGGCTGTTTGTCTGCTGTCAATCGCAGTTGAAATACAATCTTCTGTAGTGATTATGAGTGCTCTTGAAGTGCGAGCGATAGGAGACAAGTGAAGACTACCTGCCGGGTTTACGAGCTTTATATCAGGCGCTCATAGAGTCCGGGTTGGGCTCTGACTTTAGCCCAAACAGTGGTTTTGCTAATCACACGAAACAATCGTTCTTTTCTATTGGTTTGCAAGGAATCGCTAAAAATCAAGTCAATTATGTGATCAAAGCGGTCGATACGGCGCTCAAGAATGCGATCAACGATGGCTTCCCTGAAGAGAGAATCGAAGCCATTCTCCATAGAGTAGAACTTCAGACAAAACATCAAACGAGTAATTATGGGTTGGGATTAATGATGAACTTAAACCCGCTTTGGACTCATGGAGGCAATCCTCTGGTGGGTCTCAGAGTCAACGAACACGTGAACACATTTCGGGCACAACTCAAACAAAATCCCAAATTCTTGACAAATAAAATCAAAGAGCGCTTCATATCAAACACTCATCGATTAGTATTAGAGATGAATCCATCCGAAGAATACGAGAATAATCTCAAAGAAAAAGAGCAAAAACTATTGAATGAAAAGTTGTCTAAATTGTCGGAAAAGGATTTGAAAGAGATTTACGAAAACGGCTTAGAATTGGACAGAATTCAGAAGAATAAGGACGACGTCTCTGTTTTGCCGACACTTAGTGTCAAAAAAGACATTTCGCGTCGTTTTAATGCTACGGCTATAGAAACGACACAAATACTAAACGCCGACATTCAATGGTCGGCTCAACCGACTAATGGCATCACATATTTCAATGCGATCCTTAAGCCCAAAGCGAACTCATTTCCACATCATTTGGTACCATATCTACCAGTTTTCAGTCAAGTGGTCACTAACAATCCGCGGCCACTAGACCTGGCGTTTGTTGACCTAGTCCTCTAAGTCTACTCTTGCCCACCTGACGTCCACCGCCACGTGCACAGGCTGGTAGGGTACCTCAAACTAGAGATGCTCTTTCCTGAGGTTATATCTTCGCATTGTTTGGACAAAAATATCGATCAAATGTTCAGATTATGGACCGATATATTCAATAGAATCCGATTCGACGACGATTACGACCATCTGCTTCAACTGATCCGTATGTGCTCTGCGGAGATGAATCAGAGTCTTCCCTATCACGGGCACAGGTATGCTATGAACCGATCGGCCTCTTCATTGGGCGGTGCCTTCAAATACAGAGAACTGACGAGTGGTTTGTCATCTGTCTCACACTTCCGTTCGTTGGCCTCTTTAGAGGACTGCAAACCAATTGTACAAAACCTGAAGAGTATTGCATCGCTTCTATTGAACGCCGATTCCATCCGGTGCTCAATCAATGCGGAGGCGCCCACTATTAGACCTTCCCTTCAGACCGTCGAGCGATTCATTCAATCCATTAATAAAAGTAGTGAAACGAGTCCTCAAACAGAGTCATTGAATGTTAACATTCCGGCCGTTGAGCCGACGCTTAGCGAACACCACGTCTTTCCCTTCGGCGCCAACTATTTAGCGAAGTCTGTGTTCTGCGCGCCGTTCGCTCACAACCTAATGCGTTTTGAGTTTTAGCGGAGTTTCAACCAAAGTCGGTTTATAGAAGTGGCCCTTCACTCCCTTTTCCCGCCGCGTATGCCTCCGCCGCGATTAGAATCACGGCCGCCACGAATATTAATGAACTCATATCGCGACCCAAACGTCGACCAAACAATCAATGCGTTCAATAGTTCCGCCGAATGGCTGTCCGACCAAAACAATTACAGCGATCAGGACGTGGATGAGGCGAAGCTGTCGGTGTTCCAGGACGTGGATCATCCTATTATGCCCAGCGAACAGGGATTAGAGTGTTTCGTGAACGGCATCACCGACCAAATGAAACACGACTACAGAATGCGTTTACTCGATGTCACCAAAACAGACATCGAAGAAGTGGCCCAAAGGTTTGTCTCCTATAATGGTGTTCCGCTTGTTTACAGCATTTTTGTCCATTGAATGCACAGGTATTTAGTGAACGAAACGTCCAAATCTGGTGTCATATTGATTGGTCCGCGCAATGATCGGACCGTATCTGATGCCAAGTGGTTGGTAACAGAGGAGAAACCTAACGCTTAACTACTGTTTGATAACAAATATGCATTTATTTGTATTTGTGGTCACATTTGATATGTGATTAATGAATGTCAGGCAAAGTATGGCATAATTAATGTCAGAATTTTTCAAAGTCATGACTCATTTGTAGAATAATTTGTTTATTCTAGTGATGATAGCATTAACGCTGTTTTGAATGACTGCCAATGGTATCAGTTTTCAACATAAAAAATAGTTTGTAAAAATATAGTTAACAATTTAGAGTACATAGTAATACTATAGATAAAAGATATAAAACATTTGTATAAACTTATGGTATATATTAGTCGCTTTTGATTTGTCATATAATTTGATTAAAAAATTTTAACAGTTTTTGATGCACTCATGGCATCTCACATATCGGGTTATGGCAACAATGATTAAACATTTATATAAAAATATATATCAAAATAATTTGTCACTAATAGGGTTGGCCGTATTCGGTGCCACCGATTATGTGAACGTAAGGCCGGCCTCTTTGTATGTGTTGAATATCTTCTCGATTGAGTTCACATAAGCAGCTGTTCGTAGATCGAGGCCTAAGTTATACTTCATGGCTGTTCTCATGAGTTGCTTGAGACACAAATATAAGATAACAATTCATTATTAACTCAAATACAGTATATCAGGTGATGGAGTCATACCCGGGCCGACCGTTCCATCGTGTAGTCGAGGCCTGAGTGGACGATATCTTTCTCTGAAGCACCGGATATTCGTTTCTGAAAGGCTTCACTCGGGACTATAGGTATACGACCACCGGCTTTACCGAAACCCCTTTCCAGCGATTCCTGAACGCTCTCTAAAGGCATACAATGATAACATATGATAGTATTGATGGATAGGTATGATGTCCACAAACAATACCTAATAAATGGTAGTTAGAGTCGCGTTCGTATTTGAATAGCAATCGGCCATAACTGACGTGATTAAGGTTTTTAAGCCATTCAAAGTAGGAGACAGTCACTCCCCCAGCATTCAGGTATAGGTCGGGAATAATTAATATGTTTCTATTTAACAATATCTTATCGGCTGCCGGTGTGATGGGGCCGTTAGCCGCCTCGGCTATTATCTTAAATTAATTGTGCTTTTGTTAGAAAATGGCATTCATTGTGATACTATTGGTATGTGTATTGTATGACAAATACTTTGCATTGAAGTTTTTCGGCATTATTTTTGTTGATAACTTTCTCGATGGCCGCGGGCACCAGTATATCGCACTTCTCGTACATAAGCGCCTCCTGTGGTCCCTCGTAGGGCTGGGCGTTCGGGAAGCCCACGATTGTGCCGTTATTCAGCTTCCATTCCTCCAACTCCTTGGGATCGATGCCATTGGGATTGTAAATACTTCCATCCCTTTCCTGAATTCCTATACATCGAGCGCCGGCTCTGTTCAGGTATCTCATGGAGTGAAGGCCAACGTTTCCAAAGCCTTGAACGATAAACGTCTTTCCGCCCCACCCGGGAGTGTTGCCAACCATTGACATATACGAGGCCTCGTTAATAAAGTTGTCGATTCCGTGAAAAACTCCCTTTCATTGCGAAAAACACACCAAACATTGAATTCAAGTCGTGTTATCTTATCGTCGCTTAAAGTGTCTAAAGAATTATCAAATCGTTTGGAAACTTCACTATTATTCAGAGGAATCTCTCTGCGAAACACCAGTTGTGGTGAATAAACAAACGCAAGGATTAACTGATAACACAATTATCTAATCTCTTTGAGGGCTCGTAAATAACTCCTCTATTAAGGCATAAGTAAATAATACGACAAATAATATACTGACTCTTCCGGTGGCGGAGATTCGGCCGTGGATTCCACCTTGGTTAATCGGCTTCCCGGTTATGCACGCGTGAGAGTTCATGTCTGTGTAGCCGATGGTCTGGGCGTACGTGTCGGCGATCCAACTCATCTCGCGCTCACCCGTTCCCATGTCGGGCGCCGGCACGTCGATGCCCGGCCCTAAGAACCCCTTTTTGCACAATTGGAGCGCAAAGTTTCGCGTAATCTTCTCCAACTCCTGGTCACTGAACTCTTTGGGGTTAATCTTGAGGCCGGCCTTCGCGCCGCCAAAGGGCACGTCCACCACAGCGCACTTGAATGTCATGAGAGCCGCCAATGCCTTCACTTCATCCAAACACACGTCTGTACTGAACCGAATACCTGGAACAGATCGGGTGATAGTTAGACAAAACGTTGATGACACAGGGGCTCAGGGGTTGGTGTGTCAGTCGTACCTCCTTTGCAGGGCGTCCTGTGGTGACTGTGCTGTGCTCTCCAGCCGTTGATCATAACGTATTCACCATTATCTCGTTTGATGGGATAGGAGACCTCGAGGACTGAATGACAGGGCCCTATGATCGTCAGATAACCCCTCACTTTCTTGCGCTTTTCTTCGGGCGAGAGTTTGCCCTTAAGCTCATCCGCGAGCTTGTCTTCGACCACTTTCCAGCCCTTGTGGTAGAAGTACTCAACCATATGGAAGAAGGACGGGTCCTCCGCCTCCTCCACGTACGAGATATTGTCGGGGATCTGGTGGGGAGTGTCCGCCAGCGATGAGAACAGTCGATGACATCCCAGCGGTTTGCACAGCCATTGAATGGTGGGATCCGTTGCGGTGGTGGCCCACCGCCACCGGGCTGTAGGCACAGAACTTACTCAAGGGTTATTGAAACAGTGTCTTAATGAGTGTAAAGCATTGTACAAAAAGCAGGGAAATTTACCAAAAAGTGTTCAAAAATACCTAAATTATCTCTCGTCGTGAAAAAGTTTGTTTCAATTGATTTGTGGTAATGAGTGCTGTATTTGTGGCCGAAGTATAAGGCGTTTAAGTATTTAATGACCAGAAATACCAATCAATCGCTCATTCAGACTACGTAAGTAATTTAGTAAATTATTAATATATTGTTAAGTATACTTGTCTGTACGCCAGTGACTTTTGTAGACTAGTAAAGCATAGTCGGCAAGTCATGATTGCAATGATAGCGCTCGTAAGTTGGCTACCCTACCTCCCAGTGCCAGAGAGTGATTCAATTATCTATGTTATTATGTTAATTGGATCTGGGTATATTTGTGTTGTAAACACATTTAGAAATATATTAGATCACGTATAATTTACATGATACCAATTTACATAACAATATCACTATAATAGTTATTTGCTTTAAATTAATTTAAATGTTCATTTGTTATACTGTACCTTGCTAATTTTTTTCATAATTTTCCTGACAATTTACAATTATTCTGTGTTTGATTTGTTAATTCTTTAATGTTTTAAATTATATTATAGTAAATAACTAGGTTAATTAATTTATTGAAAATTCTATGATTCATAAAATATTGTTTTTTCCAGGCTCAATTCTTGTATTATTTTCAATTGTGTTAATAAATTGATAGATGAATGAAAATTGTAGCACTTTAGATAAGTTGAACATTTTAAATGTACTTTAAATTGAAAGTAATTGTCCCCTTGTTATGAGAATAACGTAATTAAGTTATGTATGAATAGTTGCTAACACTAGAGATATTACATGACATTAACTGCATTTCATTCAATGACTTTCCATTCAATTCACAATTATTGGCAATACTTTAGAATTTTCCCATTGGTTTCAATTTAAGAAATTAAATATTATTTCCTATTAATGTTATTGCAATTGATTAATTTTTTGATATTCTTGTGTAATTTAAAACTTAAATAAATTTGGATTACCAAATTATTCTAAATAAATATATTTACCATGTTAAATTAATTAGAAGTTTTATAAATTGAATATTGTTCTCCTAATAATGTACTGTATAATCAGTATTTTAAAACTCACATTTCACTATTATTAGATAGTATTTTAGATAATATTTTTAGATAGTACAGTACTGGATATTATATTATTATATTTTTGATTGTAGAATTATATTACTAATTATTTGAGTGAGTGAGTGAGTGAGTGTGTGTGTGTGTGTGTGTGTGAGAGAGAGAGAGAGAGAGATTTGTTTTAGTTGATTATTTAGATGTAAAGAAATGGTGCAAATTTTTAAAGGATTTAGTAGCAATTCAATTGATTTATCGATTTTGCTAAAAAACTCAGACTATAGACAAAGTAACCGCTGATTAATGTCAGACCATAATCTTCCGACAATTACTCACAAAACCATAAACACATCTTATTTGCAATAAATTTTATTTTTCTAAACTCATTTGCTAATATGTAAACTTATAATCTGTTAGGAAATGATCTCAAATTAATAACTATTATAATAAATTCAATTCACATATCTCCGCAAATACAATTGAAAGTTTCTCATTTGAATAACAATTTAGTAATATATTGTACAATGTTTTAATGCATATTAAGTGAAAATTAATTAAATTTAAAAGAAATTAATTTCCAATTTGTTGCTATAATGTGAGAGAAATTGCTAAATTGACAAAAAGGCATCAAATTTCCGAAAACTCACGACAGAATAAATTACGAGTGAATTTTATTACGATATTATAAATTTAATTTCATTTAAATATTTTCCTCTTTCCGACTATTAATAAATGAATTGAAAATCATTTTTTATTTGGTTTGTAATTTTATACTAAAAACCATTTTTATTAACTTCACAACCAGTTATTACAATAGAAAACGAGTTTATAATTAAGAATATGTCAAACACCGGGTTATATATAGAAAGGGTTTTAAATGTAATTTAATAAAACAGATTTTAATAATAAATATTTGATTGAGTTTCCGTATAATTGGTATGAAAATCAAATGTATGGTAGAATTGAATGTGAATACAAACGGGTAAATGTTATGTTACTAAAATATTCTGAATACAAATTTCTTAAGTGTTTTAATAATAAACCTGATGTCAAGACACCATTCAATCACAGTATTCAATGTGTAGTAATAATACTGGTCTTTAATATTCAATGAATAATAAATAGGATTTTTCTCACAAATTATTTTAAGACATATCAGTGAACAATAAATTGTAGAAAACAAATAATACAAACAAAAACAAATTTCTTAAACGATTTATACAATATTTAAATTAGTATCAAAACAATTCAATTGCAATTCAATGGGGACTTAGACTTGAAGTCGGATTCTGGCGAATTGGTTGAGGTATGGGTTGAGAACCAGTACGGATCGGGTCCTGACGGGAACGTCCACATAGATTCCCTTCGCCCGCAAATACGAGTCTGAGAGTAGACAGTGTAGGGACGTCAGCGGGTGAAAATCCACGCTGTTGAGTGATGTCATAAGTGGTTAAAAGGACAAATAGTTAGGTTAGCAGTTAATAACATAGTTAGTAACTCCATATATAATGAGCGGTAAATACCTGATGCCATAGTCGGTGATCCGCCAGCACCCGGACACATCCAGATACTCCAGATGCTTAGCATTTGATGCCAATGCAAACAGAGTTCTGTCGGTTATGCCATAGATTTTCGAGAGCGACAGTTGCTTTAAATTATGACAATTAGTGATCAGATCGATGGCCGAGTCGTCGGACACTTCCCAACAACTGCCGAGATTTAAGTCCTCGAGTTGATGGCAATTGAGTCCGATGTCTGTGATGGCGTTGGCGTTAACCCAATGACAGTCCTGTAGTTTCAATGTTTTCAATGATTTACAATTTGAGGCCAATTTGTGGAGAATATCATTCGTGAGTTCATAGCAGCCGGAGATGTCCAGCACCACGACATTGGGGTTGCATTGGATGACAGGCAGTAGGAGTGGACTGCAGATCCACTTACATGAAGACAGATTCAAAATACGGATATTCTTGCAGTCGTTGGATATGATGTGAAACGAATGGGCAGTGAATCGG